TTTTCCTTTTTATTATCTGGTGCATTTCCCAGCTTTGAAAACGAAAATAAAAAAGACATTGCATTTCAAATTTTTGGAAAAAAGTGTCCTTGTTTTTAAGTAGCTTATCACTGAGCTTACCTTTTTTTTTTAGTAAAATATTTTTTTTTGCTTTTTTTTATTTCTTCCTTGAAGAATTCCAGTTTAGAAAAAAAATAAACCCCTGGACTTACTTACCAGTTTTAAACCTACACTGTCCTACGATAGCAGCATGAAAACTAGTCTTAAGTTAGTAAGATTTGTCTTAGAAAGTGAAGTTAATTAGAATGCTAGTAGCCAATACTCCAGCCCATATGCTAACTCACTCAGCTCCACTCTCACCTAGTTCTAAACCGCTTAAATGTCTGGTCCCAAACATGCTATCAACATCTTTAATACTATCTAGGTCCCCAAAACTCAGGCAGTCGTACAGATGTGCCTCTGAGCAGCTGAAAGAGCATCTCATAGTTTGTTCTGAAAAGGTCTTGGCTTACATTTATGGATAGATATCACGTTCACTCCTGAAAACTCAAATTAAAAGGTATCTCCATCTTGTACGTATCTTCTTCCATTCTCCGAGTACTTTGGCATAGCTTGGTGTTACCAAGAACTGTACCTGGCACCGCAGCTCCAGGCGGCTGCCGCGGTGCCCGGAGCAGCCGCCCGTGCGGCGGGGAGCGCGATCCCAACGGCGCCACCGACGCTGCCATCTCCTGGAAAACAGCGGAGTTACAGCAACAGCTTTGAATGGCACATGCAGGGAATTTTGTACACACTGCAACCGTTAGCGTGGAAAATTTTATTAGGGAATTGGTTTTATTCTGAATTTGTTCCATTCATTATTTTGTCTTGTGGCACTAGGTGATGATTCGAGGAAGGGGATTCTGCCCCTCTGCTCTGCTCTCGTGAGACCCCACCTGGAATACTGCGTTCAGCTCTGGAGGACATGGAGCTGCTGAAGTGAGTCCAGAGGAGGCCACGATGATCCGAGGGCTGGAGCACCTCTGCTATGGAGACAGGCTGACAGAGTTGGGGCTGTTCAGCCTGGAGAAGAGAAGGCTCCAGGTGATCTTATTGCAGCCTTCCAGGACCTGAGGGGGGCTACAAGCTGGAGAGGGACTTTTTACAAGGGTGTGTAGTGATAGGACAAGGGGCAATGGCTTTAAACTGAAAGGGGAGATTTGGATTAGATATAAGGAATAAATTTTTTACATTGAGGATGGTGAGGCACTGGAACAGGTTGCCCAGAGAAGTTGTAGTTGCCCCATCCCTGGAAGTGTTCAAGGCCAGGTTGGATGAGGCTTTGGGCAACCCGGTGTAGTGGAGGGTGTCCCTGCCCATGGCAGGGGGGTTGGAACTGGATGATCTTTGAGGTCCCTTCCAACCCAAACCATCTGCAATTCTATGATTCTTACCTGGCTGGTAAGCTGAACTTAGGGGAAGTGTTATACATGGTCAATCTCCATCTAAAACTTCTGGAAGGAGGTAAGTTAGTCCTACCCCAGACTGCAAATGACACTTAGCTAGTGAATCTGGAGATGTAAAAACGTAACAGCATAAACCTTAACATTTCATCTCACCCTAGATCGTCTCTACAAACAGCAAGAGCAGAAAAGCAAACAAGAAATAAATGGTTTCTATAATTTCAAAGCAGAGAGCGTGAATCTTTTGAGACTGGTTTGATACAATTCCTTACAGTGGAAAGTTGCCCAAACACCTAGTCTGCAAACAGCTCTTAATCACAATTACATTGAACTGGGCCTAAGCAATAGCTTTATTGAAATTTCCCACATACACCTAACCCCACCTCTATCCCAAATCCATACTTCTTTGGAGAATGACTCAAACTAACCTGTTTCCATAGCCTAGGAGCTAGGCTGGAGTACTCACCAGTTCAGCTATTGCATTTCAGCTGACAGATGGCAAATTAAGATGCTCTGCCTGACTGCCTGCCGTGTGCAAACATGTCTTGCTTTCCTTTGTGAAAGGCTTTAGCAGACAAACTTTTTGTCAATTGCTTAGTTTTCCGAAATACACTTTATTAAACCAACATGCAAGACCACTGACATGTGAGACTAGCAGGAGGAAGGTTAAGATAGCTTATCTGAAAGTTTTTATAAAATGTCCCCATCTTGGGGGGCTTAACAGAGTTGCTCTGTATTCCAGAGATTATTTTTCTGCAATAAAACACAAACATTGACAGCAAACTTTCAAAAAATTAATGAAAATAAGCTATTTTACAAATCTAACATTCCTATGGTTCTTTGGGTACACACGTTAGAATCTTACATTCTACTTAATTCAGTTTTCTTGGACAGGTAACTGCCATACAATAGCAAGTTAATACACTTCCAGAACATGCACTGACACTTACTTGTGTGTGAATAAGCTCTCACTACACGTTTGATGCTTGAAGGGATACAGCTGTGTGTACTTTACAAGAGAATCTCACAATAATTTCAGGGAGGAGTAAATTACCAATGCATTCTCTTAACTTGTGTCATGGAAAACAAATCAGTTCAAAGTTTGATTCTATCCTCTCAGCTGAATATATCTAACACGTACAGCAACATAATGTCTAAAATTAGTCTGAACAATTAATGTGATGACTAAATAATTCTGAAACCTCACTGACAGATCAAAAGAAATTGATTCCAACAGCAGAGTAAGTACTCAACAAATTAATACAGAACTCTATTACCAAACAGGAGAGACTGACTTCATAATGAAAATATATTTTGGCCATACTTAGTATCCACTTAAGTAGGTGCAACTCCACTGGATGCAGCAGAAACGTACCT